GCTGCAAGGTCGCCACACACGCTCAAACATGTATAACACGCAGCCTTTCCTTGGAAATTAGTTTGGGAGTGTTTTCAGGGACAACTTATGTATGAAAGAGTTATATATTAATTTTACCAAAGTGAATAATTTGAAAGTATAGTAAAGTACTGTTAAAGAAGACATACGATGGGATCAAGTCAGAAAATGGTACAAATTTAGTGAATTACATCCCGAACGATGACCTAAAATGAATATACAGTTATTTATCTGTTTACTCCTCTTTGTTAGAAGAAACATCAAATCAGGTAATCCGGAGTTGATGGATGTGATCCTGCCTCCTCAGCGGTAGGCAGGCGGCGAGGGCTGCGGATTAGGCCTAGGGACGAGGAGGAGGCGTGGAGGCATGCTGGAGGATCAGGGCAGAAGGAGTGGCAGGGGGAGCGAGGTTTCCGTCGCGAGAAATGACACAAAGGGCGGATTACACGCGTATAAAGTGTCGGAGATCGCGACCGCATGAAATCCAGCGCGAGATATGTCTCCCGCCCACGTACGGCGGGCTGTCGGTTAAAAAAAGGCTTCAGAACACGAGAACGAACTCCACAGCGCGAAGGAAAAGTCCACAGTACACGGCTTTGTTTCGCAGCTCAAGGAGAAGCCCATAACAGGAGCGGTAATTCCCCTAAACGGCTTAATTAAGGTTGATAGCGACGCGGAATCATTGCGATGTTCCATTTAAATGAAGGGTGAATGCTCGAAATAGAGCAAAAAGCCACACGAAGGGAGTTCATTTTAACACTCCTGAGAGGCCGGAGGAATTTGCATGCTGTCCGAAATATAAGGAAGAAAGAAAAAGAGTGAGAAGGGCTTAGAAGAGAGAGAGAGGGGGAAGAGGGAAAGGGTGAGCAAGGGGAATAGAGGGAGAAAGAGAGGTAGAGGGATGGGAGCAAGACAGGGAGAGAGAGAGAGAGGAGGATAAAAGAGGAAGGGGTTGAGGAGAGTCCGTGTGAAGAAATCCAACGAGAAATCGCGAGAAGCCAGACCTACCAGAAACTGTTTCGCCAACCTCGCCAGGAAGGCTGATAGACTGACAGCGTCCGGCCTGATGTTCTGCGCTTCCCCTCCTCTCCTGTGTGTTCTGCCCCCCTCCCGTCCCTCTTCCCTCCCCCCCTTCCCTCCTTTCCCCTCCCCCTCCCTTCCCGACTTCGCTCTTCCCCTTCCTCCCCCATCCCGACGTGAGGGGAACCGAACTGTTGTTGTGGGATTGGATTTATGAGAAGGTTCGATCCCCGGTCAGGGACTATGGCACGCAGGGAAGGCTGGGTATGGAATTGGGGGGAGAGGGGAAGGAAAAAAAGAACAGGAGAGAGAGGAGAGCGAGAGCGAGAGAGAGAGCGAGAGAGAGAGAGCGAGAGAGAGAGCGAGAGAGAGAGCGAGAGAGAGAGCGAGAGAGCGAGAGAGCGAGAGAGCGAGAGAGCGAGAGAGCGAGAGAGCGAGAGAGCGAGAGAGCGAGAGAGCGAGAGAGAGAGAGAGAGGGAGAGAGGGAGAGAGGGAGAGAGGGAGAGAGCGAGAGAGCGAGAGAGAGAGAGGAGAGGAGGGAGAGAGGAGAGAGGGAGAGAGAGAGAGAGGGAGAGGAGAAGGAGAGAGAGAGAGAGAGAGAGAGGGAGAGAGAGAGAGAGAGAGAGAAGAGAGAGAGAGAGAGAGAGAGAGAGAGAGAGAGAGAGAGAGAGAGAGAGAGAGAGAGAGAGAGAGAGAGAGAGGGATGATGGAGAAGGGTGCAGAGAGCGAGGGGTAAAGTAGGATGTTGTGAAAAGGGGAGCCGAGTGAGGGATGAAGGTAGAGAGGATGAGAAGGATTGTGGGATGGAAGCAAGAGGATCACAGGGCATAAGCAGGTCCTATACAGAGGGGCGAAGGATAATCTCCGCGCATAAGGATTGTCAGACAAATCAGGGGCCAGTGTCGCGCGACAGGCGGGCCTCACTCCATCATCCACCTTGCCCCTAATTCGCTTTCCTCTTTCTCTTGCAGCGCCGGCGAGGGAGTGCCAGCCAAGGGATGCCAAGTCCCCTATCACGGCGTCACTGACTCCCCAGCCAGACAACCGGGCCAGCTGTGCAAGCGAAATGTGATACTTGTCCGTGAAATGTGAATCTGTTCAGCGGTTCCTTCTGGCCAACAACGTTTCTTGTGTGCGGTCCCGTCCGACGCTCGCCGACCCTCAACGTTTGTGGTGTCCTGCCAAACACAGCATGTGCTAAGGCCTGTTCTCGGGAGACTGTGTTTGAGTTTTAAGGGAAAATAAGGCTTTACGCTTGAAGGACGTGACTAGAAGGGCAAAGAACAGTAAAAAAAGAAACAAGGAGAGAAAGGGAAATATATAGCAGATAGATTAAAAAGAAAGAGAAAGACTGTTATTTGGCATTGAGTGTTTCTTACCATGTAATCGTCGACGGAGGGTGCGCTGTCAAGAGTCCGTGAGAGAATCCTAGAGGAGTCCCACACGCATCAAGTAATCCCAGGTAAGTCTCCCAAATAAGGGCAGTTCATCTTACAAAGTGTGAGTCGCGTGGCGGTGTCTAACAGGGGCTCAGTTGGGAAGCGCAGGGCCAAGGGGAAGTCAGGTTGGGTTCAGGATTGGAACTGTATCGGCAGAATCGGTCACTTAGATTGTGACAACGCCATTAAGGTATTAGACGGCAACAGACTTCACAGACACTCCTATTTAGCAAGGACTGAATGTTGCTCCGCGTGAGGGAGAGGTAAGGACGCTAGATCACGCGGAGAATCCTCGCGCACACACGCCGGATCCTAGACCACACACGGATCATCCAAGAACACATAGAGGAAGTCCCAGAGCACACACGGGGAATCTTAGAGCAGACACACGAGTCTCGGGACGTATTCAAGGTTCTCTCGGCATTTAGGGGCATCTTGAACAGATAAGCCGGATTTGGAGCACCTAATTTGTGGCTGTTGGTATTTTTGGAAGAAGAAATAGGTATACACAAGAAACAAGAAAAAAAAAATGAAGTAAAACCTGGGGTTATACGAGGGAATCGAATGAACCAGAGACATGTTAATGCTGGTAGAGCATAGGAACTCACTGGGGACGGTAGGGCACTCATGGAAGTCAAATCAGGAATGTTTTAAGGGGGACGAGGGATTGCGGAAGCACGGGACGGGGTGCATGGTAGGGTACTGGGAAAATCGAGAACAAACAAATCATGGGAGATCGGAAAAGGAGGAGAGAAACGGAAGAGAGAACGAGAGAGGAGAGATATAAAAAAAGCAGTCGTGAAGAGGAGAGGAAGAAATATACCGTCTCGAGTTAGTCCGAGGGGGGAACGCCGATAAAACACTCGAAAGATGATTATTTATACCTGAGGCGCGCGAGGTGGTGGAAGTGGAGGAGGAGGCGGAGGTGGAAGTGGAGATGAAGGCGGAGGTGCAAACGATGAAGATAGAATTATAAAAGACAATACTGTAGACTTCCTTGACGAGCGAATGACGAAAGGGCGTGAAAGTGTTGAGAAGGAAAACAAGAAAGGGAAGGGTAGTGGTTCCCAGACTCGCCGTGCCCATTGAACGTTCGGTAAAACTTCCTGTCAACATAGGGCCGGTGGGAACGTGTGCAGGGGACGGGAAGGCGAGTAGGAAGAGGAATAAAAAGAGGGCAAGGGGCATTACTCGATGAATGTGGGAGAAGAGATAGAGAAGAGATTAAGAATTTGTGTAGAGAAACAGTGTATAAGGTAGGTAATTTTTTTTAAATACGACACTGGAAAAATAAGAAAATGGAATAACGAAAGAATGAACATAATGATAAAGCTGTTGGGAAAGGACGGGAGAGAAGAGAAAAGAGTTGAATTAGAACGAAAGGAAGAAAGGCGTAGTCGAGGAAATGAAATTGAATGGGAATTATGAGGACAGGAGAAGAATGAGAAGGAAGAGGAGGAAGAAGAAAAAATTAAGGACGAGGAACAGATGAGAAAATGTCAATTAAGGGGGAAATAGGAATGTAATGAAAAAAAAAAGAAAAAGTTAGAGTAAAAATGTAAGAAGAAAAATAAAAATGAAACGAAAGTGAAAGTTTGTGGGGACAAAAGGAGAAATGGAAGTATAAATTAGAGAGGGAGAAAAATAAATAATAACGGTGATACCAATAATTACAGTGATAAGGATAATGATTGATAATAACAAGAAAAAGATGAGTGACAGAAGAACGAAGAAGAAACACAAACCCAAAACTCCGGTGGGACAGGAAGCCGTGAATAGGAAGGTCCTGCATGCATAATGGAGGACATTCCCAGCGACCGAAGATAAATATGGACGATGAAAGACAAACTAGTTAAAAAAAAAGAATAAGTAGAAATACAGAAAGAAGGAATGACAAAGAAGAGGAGGAAGAGAGAAGGGTAAGGCTGATGAGAGAGACTGAGTGAAGTCTCTCGAGAGAAACGTGGGAGGGAGTGAGAGTGCTCGAGACGACGTAACGCGAGACGGAGGGAGGCATCGCGAGGAGGCGTAGGGGAAGCACGCGGCGGGGGAGGGAGGGGAGGGAGGGGAGAAGAGGAGAAAAGATGAGGAGAGAAGGAAGGGCGGAAAAGGAGGAAGGAGGAAAATAGAAGGAAGGGCGGAATAGGGAGCGGGAGAAGAACAGGATGAGGGTGAGGGATAGCGAGAGATGAAAGAGGGAATGGGAGTGAGGATGATGTCGGTGAAAGAGAAAGAGAGAGGGGAAGGGGGATTTAGGAGTGAAATACGAGGAGAGGGAAGTAGAGGAGAGGAGAATGGAAGGGAGAGTGGGAGGGAAATGCAAATGACGGCCTGGAGTCCAACTTCGCTTCGTATATAACGGACAGCCTTTCTTTCCCCCCACCCCCACCCCCGCCCCTCACCCCCCGCCGCCCCACGTTTAAGTTCGGAAATGTCAAAGTTGTAAGCTACGAGTGAAGTTGCGAGCCTTTTGTTTCGCGATAAAATGGGGGGGGGGGGGTTGGAGGGCGTGACTCATTGTCC